GATGAACATAATATCTTTATTTTACTTATTTATGTGGTGATGAGGATCAAATCCAGTGCCTCATGCATTCGAGGCAAGCACTCTACCACTGAGTTATAACCCCATCCCAGGAGGGATTTTCTTTAATGCTATATTCCTAGCTTCTAGAATGAGACATAGCATAGAAAGTGCTCGATGAATGAATCCTACTCTGTCCATCCTACTCTTCTACTTAAGCCATGTTTGACTGGTCACTTTGCCTCCATTCTTACTCCCTTTTAAAACAATGTCCATCCAGTAGGCAGTGGCATGATTCTAAAATGAGTTTGATGCCTTAAGCCATATACTCAATTGGTTCAACAATTTGAACCAAATAGTTCCCAAGAGTGTTGAGGCATTTACTCTTGTTGTTCTGTCTGCCTGGAGAGCTTTTGAAAGTAAAGTCCCCACCTCTTTTGTTTGACTCATCCATAGATGTTCCTAAGATTTTAATTTAGATGTCACTTCTTTCAGGAAGCCTTTTAATCTCCCCAGACTGGTGTAGATACCAGACATCTCATGTCTGTTGTTTCACATGAGCCTTTCAAAAGCTCTGTGAGGCAAATATCCATTGTAGGTGAAGAAACTGAGGCATAACTTAGTTAACCTGAAGTCACATTGGTAACTAAGTGGTAGAAGTAGGACAGAAGGATAGAAAGCTGTGCAGAAGGGGAAGAGGACCGGGTCAATCCCAGCATGCCCCCAGAAGGGGCCTGTAGATGGTTGCCCTTTGTAAACTACATCCTGCACTGCCGATACAGTCCCTTTTCCTGCCAGCAAATCAAATCATCCCCTCATTCCCATCCTGCTCTCCCCACCTCCTTCCTCCCTCTCTGTGGTCTGCAGCTGCCTTGGTGCCTGGCAGGCTGGCCTGAGTCACTCCCAGCTTGCATTCTCCTTCTAGTCAAGACAGTCTGGCCAATCTCTCAGGCCGTCCAGCCCCATGGTCCTGGGGCATATATCCCCCCTCCCCAGATAAGGCAAAGCTGATACCCGGCAGAATGTAACAGCCTTTCTGAAGGAGCATTAAAAATCACATGGCAGGACTGAGGATGCAGAGCACTTGCCTAGCACTTGTGAGGCCTTGGGTTGAACCTCAGTACTAAAAAGAAAAAAAAAAAAAAGGTCACATTGCAGATTTTCTGCTCAAGAGAATTTGGTGTAGGCCCAGGAGCCCTTCTCTTTCCAGAAAAAAACCTTAGCCGGTATAGTCTCCCAGAACCACCTAAGTACAGGGTATCACTATTCTGCATTTTTTAGTTGTAGTTTGACACAATATCTTTATTTATTTTTATGTGGTGCTGAGGACTGAACCCAGGGCCTCACACATGGTAGGTGAGTGTTCTACCRCTGAGCCACAATCCCAGCCCACTATTCTGCATTCTTTGGGGCAAGAACCTCACCCTGACCCTGGGTCTTTCGAGGCCAGTCAGATGAGGAGGGTGAAGTAAGTGCCCCCATCTCCAGGGAGCAAGGGGAAGGGACACAAACGGATCATCCTGTGGTTGTCAGCCTGGCTTCACATCCTCCTAGCTCCCTTCTTCTGGCCACCAGAGGGATTGAGGCTCATGTAGGACCTACCCCTATGTGCCAGGGGCCAGCCCCTTGCCAGAGTTCAATAAGAGGTCACAGGGGAAGAAGGGGTACTGATCTCCTCCTAGAAGTCCCCCCAAGCAGCTGGGGCTCATAAAGGATGATAAGAACTAAGAGTTCTTACACAAGAACTGACAACCCCCTCTCCTTGCCTGTCCTAGCCCTGGGTTCTGCAGCCCATCCTGAGGACCAGAAGAAAAAGCCCTGTCAATTTCCAAGAGAGAAAATCAGGTCTAGGGGCTGGGGATGTGGCTCAAGCGGTGGTGTGCTCGCCTGGCATGCATGCGGCCCGGGTTCGATCCTCAGCACCACAAAAAAACAATGGCTGGGGATGTAGTTTAGTGGTTGAGCATCCCCGGGGTTCAATCCCTGGTACCAAAAAAAAAAAAAAAAAAAAAAGTGTGAGGTCCTGGGCGATCTCACAGGTTTCAGGAACTCTGGATGCAGACACCATCTTGTCTGCCTAGGACTCTAGGCTGTTGCTTCCCTGGACCCCCCCAGCATGGGTCCTGGAGAGGTAGTAGTTGCAGGGCAGTCCAAGGAAGGAAGATACATCCACATAGCCCAGGCCTAGAAGACTTGGTAACAAGTGTGGGCTGGCCTGTATCCACCCATGAGTGCAGCTGGTTTTGAGATGCCCTGAACCTAGACCTAGGTAAGGAGGTTGAATTTGATGAGGGGAATAATTAGCTGGAAGATGGAACAGGACTTTCAAACTGGAGGTGAGGAAGTCCTACCTTCCCCACCTGTTGGGCCCCTCTTCTAAAGGGGATGCAGGGATTGGTGAGAAGAATAAGGAAGTGGCAGAGAGAAGGTCCCACCCACTCAACTCAGACTGGGTTCCTCACTCCAACCCTCTGACCTTAGAAAAATCAAGACCCGTGAGGGAAAGCCTATCCCAGCACTTTTCTGCATGACTGTAGAGTCACCAGTTAGGTGACCCCACGCCTTGCACCCTCTGCACTCCCAACAATACTCCTTAGGTCTTCCCCTACCTGGGCACCAGGCTTTCTGCTCCACTACTCCAGGCAGCCAGAAAGGAGCACACGACTCAGGCGCTTCTGCAAATATGTTTAATGCACTTAGATTACACAGAGGAAGAGGGGCAAGAAGGAACGACGTCATCTAAGTGAGTCACTCAAAAATCCTTACAAAAGCCCCAGGCTGGCTGCAGCTCCAGGAACCGAGTCGCCACTGACATTAAAAAAACTAATATAAAATTTTACAAAAGTCTGCTTCTTGCAGCATTCAGGTACTTGTACAAAAGGAGGGGTCTTCCTACAGGGCTCCTGACTTGTAACAGGGACCCAGGCACCTCACATGGCATACGGGTCCTGGAAGGCAGAGAGGGAAGATCACATAAAAAAAATAGTCCAGGGAGTTCCACTGGTCTGCCCCATAGGGGCACCAACCTTCAGTTTTTCTCTCCCTTCTCAACTCAATCTCAGAAACCATCCCAAGACCTTGGGTCTGGTTTAAGAATTCTCTAGCCCTTTTAGACTCACCCCAAGGCTTCTTAGTTCCTGCCCTAGAGCCTTGCCCATGGAAGAATAGGAGGCACCAACATCCCTGCCAGGCCAGAGACCTTGCAGGAGTTTCCCTGCCCCCTCAGAATGGCAGCCATCCTCTTGCAGCCATATTGGACCTTAACAGCCACAGGAGTCTGCCTTAGACAGCAGCAGGTACAGCAAGTAGGGAGCCCCTTCTTCTCTGAAGCTTTAGTACCAGGGACCTGGAAAGATGGGGTAGGATTGGGCAAGCCTGAAGAAGGGGCAGACAGAGAGTCCCTGCCTCCTTGATCCATATAGCTTCAAGGAGGGAAAGAAGGGGTTCATTTACTGAGTACCCACCATGTGCTGGAAGCTGTGCGGGGCATCATACAAGGTCAGTCTAGCTTGATCCTGTCAGGGTCCCCTCTCACCAACCAGGAGCTCACTGGAGAGCCTCCTCCCTGAGAAACCTCAGAATCCATGGGAAAGACCAGATGAGAGATGGCTGAGGCCTTAGCACTCTCCTGGAGCCAATGTTCTGTAGAGAAATAATGGGTGCTCAGCACCAGCAGGATCTTGGATGTTCATAAGGCTCCCAAGGTGGTGGGGGCAGAAAAGGGGCCCCAGGCTTCCTGGGCTTATCACTCAGTACTTTCCTGTTCCCTCCTACCATTCCCAACTTCCCAAGCTCAGGGCCACCAAGCAGATGATGCTATCATTCAGTTTGTAAAGGTCCTGCAGGTCTGGGGCAAGTTGTTGACCAGATGTTTCATGGACTGATGACAAAATATAGCTCAGAAAATGTACCTATTCCCACAAAGCAGGCAGATAGAGGTAGGGATCCCTTAGGCAGCTCCAAGGAAGGGAGAACTCCAAGGAAGGATAACAAATTGATGGCACCTCTCTGCCCATGAAATGTCAGAAGACAAGATCTTTAAAGGTGGGGCTGCCATGGTGGATGAAGATCATCCAGCATCCTTCAGGGAAAGTTCTCAGGACAGCAGGCTGCTTCTTGGCTGGAAGGCCTGAGGCTAGTCTCTCCCACATGCTCCAGGCTATCTGCCTTGACATTAATAGGATAACCYTGGAGTTGTACAGAGGGTTTGGGCCTAGGTGGATCCTTGGAAGTCCAAAGTTCCTTGGAGACTCTAGCCAGCATCCTCATGACTTTGGAGGCAGCTCTCGGAGGCTGGTTATCTCATCAGAGGGATTCTGTACCCTATGGGCCTCCTGATGCTTCCCCATGTAGGTGGTGGAGGTGAACAGAGCCAGGGAAAAGCCCTTCATGGTCCTTGACAAACAGAATGACTTGCTTTGGAGAGGTCGAAGGGTGATTTTGAAGTAGCYCCCTGGAGTTGGAGGCTAAGAGGACAGGAAAGGGGCTTTCTAATTTCAGGTAAGAAGTGGGAGATAACTCAAGAGTTAACTCTAAAACTTTGGGTCAAAGACAGGTTGGCTTCTAGAAGGCAAAATGTGCGATCTGTAGTACTAGGGTTGAGGGACCAAGGACCACAGAGTCCATGATGTGCTGGGCGTGGTGGTACATGCCTGTAATTCCAGCAGCTTGGGAGGCTGAGGCAGGAGGATTGCGCGTTCAAAGCCAGCCTCAGCAAAAGTGAGGCACTTAGCAACTCAGTGAGACCCTGTCTCTAAATAAAATACAAAATAGGACTGGGGATGTGGCTCAGTGGTGAAGTGCCCCTGAGTTCAATCCCCGGTAACCGCCCCCCCCCCAAAAAAAAAAAAAAAAAGGAGGCCAGGATGTAAGAAAGGAGACAGGACAAGGAACAGGGAATGAAAAACAAGAAAATAATGGATGCAGGGAAGACTGGGGTGGGGTGGGTGGAGGTGGGGAGCTGGCAGAGAGCAGTACAGGCAAAATCAAAGTGAAAGAAATGGTGAAAGGTTGACTTTTCAATTTTTAATAAGCCAGAGTACTGTAGCCTGGGTGCTGGCAAGCCTAGGGGATGAGGAAAGGGGACAGGGGTGGTCAAAGAGCTGAAGACCTAGGCCCTGAGTAGCAGGTGGGGATGGTCTGTGAGGTGTGCAATGGTGTCCAATGGTTGGGATGGCAGGATAACAAATTGATGGCAGGCCTGGTTGAGTGGGAAAGGCCTGGAAGTTGAGACTGGGGCCACCAGTATCTTTGAGTTCCTAATGACTCCTGAACCTTGTTGGAGCCCAGTTCACTTGGAAAACAGCAGCAGTACTGCTTCCTGGCACCAGCTACACTGGGCTCAAGGCTGTATGGAGAGTATCCAGGTTCCTCTGGCCCAGATGGGAAGAAAAGTTCCTCTGGGAAGCAGAGACTGCTCCAGGACCTGGAATCCTTCTCCGGGAGAAGTACAGGGGCAGACAGAGGCCCCTGTCTGAGAGAATGGGAAAGTTCATCTGGGAATAAAGTTCTGCTTAAAAAACATTATACAGACGGCTTCTGGACATCTTTGCCACACAATAAAATACCATTCGGTTTCTACAAAATAAAGAAGAAAATCAAATGTAGGAATCATTCCATGACTAGAGCAGCTCAAGGAGCAAAGACGTATGGAATTGAACTGGGCAGCCACCCATGTGTACTCCACACTGGGCTGAGTGGCAGGGGTAGGTGAGGACAAAGTCTATCTCCACCCAAGGGCACATCAAGGGTCCAGAGTCAAATCTCAAACCAGAACCTGTGGTGCCAGGGGTGGAGAGGGTTTACATGTGCCCACTCACTGGCCCAGTGGGATGAGGGCCTGGTTACGTGGACTTGGCTGGCTGGAGGGCGAGGCCCCTGAGCTGGAGGTGAGGCAGGGGCCTGTGGCCATACATGGGAGTYGCACAGTCATCCTTACACTTGTCCTTTTAATTTGTGGGAATCTCCCTTATGCAGTTGTTATACCGGAAGTCACTAGAGAGCAGCCGGGCTCCCCTTGGCCCCTGCAGGGCCTAGCCCAGGCTAGTGCAGAGGACTGTCGAACACCACATCCGGGAGGATGGAGACTTTGAGCTTCTTTTCAGGCCAGCTGTACTCTTTGGGAAGTTTGAACTGTGGAGGAAGCAAGCACAGACCCAGAGTACATGTGATTAGCAGCGAAGGAGACCAAGAGAGAGGCAGGATACTTGTCCAGGCACTATCTCTGGGGTGCTGGGGGAAAGACAGGTCACTGGATACCAGCTTCATTCTCAAATGCTAGACCCAGGTGGGCACCTGGGGTAAAGTTGCTGAAATTCCCTCGTCTCTTCTTTCCCCTTGCCCTGCCAATAACTAATCAGGTTGGAGGAGGTATGTTTCCCTGMTCTTTTTTAACTATGCGATCTCCCTCCTGCTTACTTCCTTGGTTCTGCCTCCAGCCACAAGCATGTATGGAATCTGCTCCCTGAGGCCCTGAGGCTGGCACATGGCAGGCCAGAGCAGGGTGCGGATGCTACAGGAAAGTGGCTTGAGGTCTATCACTGCCATGGCCTCTTTTTAAGACTGGTGTGGGCAGGACCCTGAAACTTGTCCTCCATACCTTTGCCAAAGGGTCCAAAGGGAAGGAGGCCCTAGTTCAGATCCAAAGTAGCAGGATCAGTGTGGTTTGAGCCTGGTGCATTCTCAGAAGGAACAAATCCCCATGCTGYTCTCCCTGGTTCATTTTCATGCACTTCCCATGGTCCCTAGCTCAGAGTGGTGGCTGAGAAGAGACCAGGGTCTTCTGATCCTACCCCAGAAATAAATGATCAGTTTGTGTTGTTTCTTCTGCTTCTGCTTACATGGGGGCTTATGGTAGGGAAGAGAAGAAGCTGACATCTCATTTTTTTTGGATTTTAGGACCTTGCATGTAGATTGACACACCGTTGGTGCTCAATGAATGTTCACTGACTTGGGCTAATACTGGAGCTTGGAAGCAGGGTCTGTCTTTTATGAGTCTCACTGTCCTGGAGCTAGGCCACAAGTTAGGGCCACGATGAAAAGAAGAAAACTGCTCTCAGCCTGTCTGGAGCTGGGCTGGAGGTGAACAGGCCCTGATGCTTCCTGGCTGGCTCCTTCTGCCCTCCCTCTGGATGGGGGACTGTCCATGCCAGGACAAAGTAGAGAGTGGGGCAGGGTGTGGGGATAGCCTTTGGACAGGAAAGAAAAAAAAAAAAARRAAAAAAAAAAGTCATTTTTAGTGACCTACTTTCCTAAGCTCCCCTGGCTCCTATCCCTTTTGCCTGGACTGTCCCTCTCCCACCCCTTCAACACCCAAGCTTAAAGCAGCAGCCTGGCGCAGCGCCACCCCAGTGTGACAAGGCCTCYCCGGAAGCACTTCTGGGCAGCTGGCTCTGGCCTGACTGAATGGGAAGCCAGGCCTCAGAGATCAGTGACTTATGGGAGTTGATCAGTTGGCACCAATTGAGTGCTTGATGACTTTGGAATGTATATGAATTAATTTATCAAAACTATATCCCAGAGGATAGAGAAGACAATGCCTTATTGGGGTAAATGGCTCTCCTGTCCACCCAGAGACCCATCCAGGATAGCCCACCTTGAGTGTTTAAAGTCTCACGAACATCAGAGGCCTCTATATCCTGCCTATGTGCCCCTGGGAGCCCTGGCAGCTGAAAGRTCCTGCCTTGCCTCCCTCTAGCTTAAAAGCCTAGCCCTTGGGAAGTAAAAGAGCTCTCCCCCAAAGACATTTCCTGGAAGACAGGGCAAGGGAAGGGTCTGTCTCTGCCACAGGGAAGGGAGGGCCAAGAAGAGCTCTCCAGAGGCCTGGGCAGCTTGCTAATGCTCCACTAGCCCATCAGGCATTCAGGCCAGGAAGACTCAGGTCCCGCTGGGGTACTGGTTAGTAGGAGGCAGGGGGAGGGGAAGGGACTTTCCAGGATGAGGTAAGTCCCACAAATGAGGATGCTGGGAACAAGGAAGAAAAACAAAGGGGATTATGGACTCCATTCCTGTATCCCAGAAAAGTACCCAAGGGAAGGCATAACCCCCCCTGGCCTGCCAGCTCCTCAGACTCTGAGCTAGCCTGGAAGAGGAGACTAAGAGGGGAGAGCTGAAGAAAGGAAGAAGGAAGAGTGGCTCCTGGGTGGCCCAAGGCGAGAGCAGTAGTCCTTCGCTGCCCACCAGAACTCCCTAGTGGAATGTTCTCTGGCAGCAGAATGGGCTTTCTGTTCAGAACCTGCCAGGGAACAGCAGGGGCTAGGGAGAACTCGTACTGGCCTGAAGGCCCTGGCTGCCTCTTCAATGAGGTTCTTAAGAGCTGGCAATTCAGACAATTTGCTGGGTGTCCTCATAAGGGCGGGGGGTGGAGCAGGGGATGGTGGTGGTTTATGGAAACAGAAGAGAAATGAAGCCATTTAACATTTCTGGGGGCACTTCTTAGCCTATCCCAGCACCTCAGAGAGCAGCCTGCAGATGCAGACATGTAGACACACACCTGGAGAACAGCCCCACCATGAGAGAGAAATCAAACAGGCTTACTTCCTCTGGAGAAGTCAAATCTTCTAAGTCCTCCAACATTTTCTCTACAAACTCTTCAGTCAACAAAATCTGGGAAGAAGGCACAAGCAGACTTTTATTTTTTTAAATATATGGTCTTTTTTGCCAACTGCTAAGCTGTGGATCTTTCTTCTGGCCATGGAGGAGGAATCAACCCATTGCTCAGTTCTAGGGACAGAGGGAAATTCTTGAGACCTATCCCCAACCACACACYCCCAATGCCTCCCACCACCACCTGCCTGTGATATCACCAGAGTCTGGCAGAGAAGGAAGAGGGTCAAAGGACAGTGGGGAGGTGTGGTAGGGACATCTGGAGGGTRGGTAGTGCTGTTCCCAGAAGGGAGATGGAAACTGGTGTGGGGGGAAAACCACCCTCTTTTGGCTGTTCAGGGCTCCCGCAYATGCAGGGTGGGGTGGGGGRACGGGGACAGAAAAGTCATAGAGCAGAAAAGTTGCCAACATTCTCCTTGCCCCATCAGGCTCACATGTTCCCACCTCCTTTCCCATCGACTTGGTAGGACAAAAGGAATCTATTTGGCTTTAGAATACAAGCCCTATCTGAAATCTAGAAATGCCCCTGAAAGTACATCCAAGAATGTCTAAGCTGGAGAATTTGAATATTGTGGACCAACCTCTCTCATTTTACAGATGGGGAAGGGACTCTCAACTTCTCTTTCTACCTACAGTATTCATGTTATTTCAGGCTGGCTCCCAAGCCCCTGCCCTACTGGTGCAGTCAATGCTGAGTTCTTCAAAACTCCCGAGATGCCTCTTTCCTAGGTTCCTTTCAGTCTCCTACTCTGCTGATACCTGCCACCTCAGGCTTTAAGGTTGGACAGTCTAATCCTACTATTTTGTTGACAAAGCCATCATCCTCAATGCCTAAACAAAATTCCTCAGCCAGTTTGAATGCCCACAGATGCTGAGGGCTTCTAACGCCAGGCCTTCCTCCACCTGATGGGCCCCTTAACCAACCCATTGGTCTAGTAAGCCATGCTCACCACATGCCTGCACCACCTCGGGCTTGGCTAAAGATATCTTTCCTCTTCCAGATTCTGGCCCTTTCCTCTCTCTCCTCTCAGTCCTTATCCATAGGGCTTCCCTGAGGCTGTGGCTCTACCTGCTTCCCACATGTGAGATAAAGTGAAGTGGCAGAGAAAGGAAAGCAAGCAAGAAGGGTCCTTGAGGATGAACCCCAAAGGAAGTTGATTGGGGGGGGGGGTGGCAAGTGAGAAAACTACCCTCAAATGAGTAGAAAAATCACCATCATACCAGGTACCTGCTGACTGAACATGTGTCTTATGTCCTTCAGTCTCCTTACAGATGAGGAAACTGAGGCACAGATTACAGCATGTGGCCTATGGGGCTGAGACAAAACCATATCTCAATCATATCTGGATGGGAAACTTAGTTTCTGAAGAACTGCTTCTAAATCCTGAACTTTTAGTGCCAGGACATTTGCTCCTGTATTCTATTCTTTCTTTCTTTCTCTCTCTCTTTTTTTTTTTAGTTGTAGATGGTCACAATATCTTTATTTATTTATTTATTTTTATGTGGTGCTGAGGATTGAATCCAGGGCCTTACATGTCCAAGGCAAGTGCTCTACCACTGAGCTACAAACCCAGCCCCTCATGTATTCATTTTTAAGGACAGGTATGAAGGCAGCCCATATTTCACTGGACTAGCCCTCCCTTGGCTGACAGGACCCATCTTTCCCAGGATGGAAGCCCACAGTTAGGAACAAAAGCTCTGACCACTAGCCCATGTCTCTTTACCAAATCTTCTGTTGGAGGAGCTCAGGCCTCAAGTGAGAAACCAAACAAGTCAAGGCCAAGTTGGCCCAAGGGAGTGCCTACCTGAGGTGTCCCCTTCTTGTTCTTTCTCCAAATTCTTCCTAGAYTGTAGTTATACCTAATTAAACTCATACCCAACCTTCCGGCAGCCCAAGCCCTTACTCTTCATACTCTTATCCCAGGGGAACATCCCTCCGCACCCCTCCCTGGCCACCAATTCCAGAGTTTCTCTACCAGTTATCACCAGTCTGCTTGAGTAGTATAACGTCACATTTATATATTTGGCACTTCCAGGGCTTGTTGCCATCTCTGCAGATGCTAGCGCAAACATGAGCATACCACAAACCCAGTTACAATACAATGGCTCCAGTCTGGGCCAAGCTGGGTTCACTTCTAACCCATAAATATTTGAGGGAGGGGCTTTCTGCTAGAGTGGTCACTAGGTCTGGGCCTATAACTAGTGCTAGGGTGAAATGGGGCATGGGGAGGGTTACAGAGACGGTGGCTACCCAGTGAGACTCCAAAGGGAATTGTTTCTCAACAACAGGAAAGGTAATGCCAATAGCACTGACAAAGGTCTGGAACTGGTGCTGGGAAAGGGTAAGCTATGGAAGCTTTTAGCAGAGCCACCATCAAATGCTGCACCATCTGTGTGTGGACTTATTTTGTACTCGATGGGGGAAGGGACGGCAAGACTCGAAAGGAGGACAAATTCTAGTCACTCCTCTATTTTCACTTCTGGTGATTTGTTGGTTTCTGTTGGAAACTTCACATTATTTTTTAAAAAAATTAAAGGGGAAAAATTATACATGAGATCTGCATGATATTAAGGGTGACATTCTCTGCAAAGAAACACGACAGACTGTCATAGCTCCAGGCACCTAATTTAATTTCCTTTGGGAGTTAAACCTTAGAAGCTTGGATTGAACAAACAGGCCCTGTTCTTTGTATATTTCAGAGCTAGAGCTGAGAATGTTAACAGATCTTATCAACAGGACACTGGAGATAGACAGCTATGATGGAGCAGCTCCTGGGAGCTCTCACGAGGAACAGACTCACCGTTGTGATGTAGCTGTGGGAAGAGTCTGTGAAGGTCTGGGGCTTGGAGCACCTGAAGCTCTCTGGGTCCCCATGGAGCTGCCTGGCTCTGCCACAAATAATAATGGGAATGGCTATGACAGTGACAGTTAAAATGACCAATAGCAGTGACTCCCCTGCTAGGTGTTTGACCTGAATCTTCTCAGGGAATCCTAAGATGATCCTGCATAGGATGAAACTCTCATCACCAAAACAAGAGGATGCTCCCCAACCTTAGAAACCTGTATACTTAGGGCTGGTCTCTCTCTCCTCTGATGGGGGAGGTGAAGGTCACCTTGGCTTCTACCAGTGGCCCAGAAAACTAGTAATACCAGCCCTAGCCAGCCACACAGCTCCTGACCACCCTCAGTTCAACAGGACTGGAACCCAAAGTATTACAGACATGCAGCTGTTAAAAATCCAGGCTTGGGCWGGGGATGTGGCTCAAGCGGTAGCGCGCTCGCCTGGCATGCGTGCAGCCCGGGTTCGATCCTCAGCACCACATACAAACAAAGATGTTGTGTCCACCGAAAACTAAAAAATA